TTATGACAAATTATTAAAAAAAGAAGAAGAAGAAAGAAAGAAAGAAAGAAAACATTTATTTCATAAAACACTGATTAGCAAGGGTGTTTTGAGATTTTTATAAAAACAATTTGGTCAAAATTGACGGCCAAGGGGAAATTTGCATCTATTTTCAAATGTTAGGGATTTATATGCATGCGTATACTAAATTGCAAGGGTGTTTTTTGCACACTTTTTATATAGCAGGGTCTTTTATATATATGTAAGTACCACATATTTGTTTTAGCTTAAGAATGGCAATCCCCTCTCTCACGCAAATTAACCATTTGGCAATTTGCATACTTTCCCAAACACCAAAAAGTCATCGCATGGTTAACTGCTCTAAATTCTAGATGGGTTGTAACTATTCTAGTTCATGTTTGAAATTTACTGAAGAATTTTAAACTGAGAAGCAAAAGCTGATGCTGCAAAAAATAAGTAAAAAACAGAGTAACACACACTGCAAGGATTGAAATCATTATCATTTCAATTACCAGGAAGAGAGGGGGGGGGGGGGGGGGGGGGGGGGGGAGGAGGGGGGGTGTTGTTGGGGTTGGTTTGTTGAAATCATTATCACAAAGCCAAAAACAACAAAGTTATTATTAAAATTTCCAAAACTGAAATCAAAATAAATAAATAAAAATTGTCAGAATATTGGGAAATGCATGTTGAATTTACCGAGGATGGATAACAAGGCAGAAGCTTAAATTTGAAATGTTAATCAAGCCATAGAAAAGGAACAAAAATAAAATAGAATGTCAAAAGCTATATTACGGATAAACCATCTTTTGCACTGTCGGATCTTCCATCATTTTCTCCAATGCTTCCACTGACAAAACAGGATTCGCTTTTCCTGTCCATATACATAGAATACTTAAGCTCCTTGGTGAAAAATTATTTACTACCAAATACAATAAAACAGGCAAACATGGTTACCAAGCACAGATAAATTCTTCAAAACTGAAACTATGTTAGATAGGGCACAGAAATATTGATCAGTACTTCCAACCTCAAATCATAATAATAACGAGAACTTTCATTGTCATGTAAAAAATATATGTACAAATGTATAAAATAAAATTAAAAAATTGGCTAATCATTCAAAAAATCTGTAACCTGGTGATTTGACAACTTTTAATTCGTTAGCAGATGAATCCAACAGGCAATAATAATCAACACGGTATGCTCATTCTAATCCAAGATGAAAAGGGTACCACCTACTGCTGGTCCACCTTACGCGGTTATGGAGAGTAGAAGACTGAAAATGGACCCTAATTGGAGAGTGGCGGCTCTCAGATGAACCGCATAATCACACTAGGCAGCCCGAGGATTTACCATTCACCAAGAATAAAAGCATCAACACTAATAGTCTATCAGTAAACTTGAACTGCGATAGTGTAGAATACAATTTTATGAGAAAAAATAAATAAATTATTCTTAAGCGAAGTGGTAGATCTATCTGAAGTTTCGAACATAACAAGTAATTAATAACTGGAGACCAGGTTCATGTGACCTCTTATCTCACTGTAAACTATAGTTTTAAACAATAATAATAATAATAATAAATGCTATATCAGTGCTTACCACACGAAGAGAATAGTAATGAATGCACAAACCTGAGCTCATTCATGACATATAATCATTGAATGCAATATGGTCAACACCAATAAATAAAATGTTGATAGTCTAATTTTTTTTTTCCCTAAATGTGGAAAAAATTTAATAAATAAAAACAATATAGTGCAGGGAAACCAGTTCACATGCTTGCTTGACCTCAGTACAAACTATACTTGATGCTCTTAATTTTTTCTTTTCATGTTCTGGCCTTCATATGAATACTGCAAAGTGCAAAGCTTTTTTCTCAAGAGTTGACAGCCAAACAAAAGCTGCCATTCTTAATCTCTTAGGGCATGTTTGGTGTGGTGGAATGAATTGGAATGGAATGAGAATAGAGGTGGGAATGGAATGAGAATGGAATGCAATGAGAATAATGATTCTCATTCCACCGTTTGGTTGTAAACATGGAATGTGTAAAAATGGAATCTCATTCCATTCCTATGTTAGGTAAGAAAGTTAGAATATAATGAATTTATATTGTTTCTTTAAATTACATTTTACTATTAGTAAAAAAAATTAACTAAAAAAATTAATTTGCAAAAATAAAAGGGAAAGAGATAATAGAGAGAGAAAAATAAACGAGATAGAGAGAGGGGGAACAAACAGCATATAGATACATATTATATATATATATATATATATATATATATATATATATATATATTATATTTTATATAGTATGTGTATGCGTGAATTATCTCTTTAAATTATTTTATTACTTTATTAATTCTTAGTGGGAATGGAATGGTCATTCCACCTCTCAAGAAGTGGAATGGGCATTCCACCTTTTTGATGGAATGGGCATTCCCTAGGAATGGCCATTCCACTATTAATGTGACACACCAAACAAGAGAATGGAAACAAATGCATTCCATTCCACCTTCATTTGATTCCATTCACTCACACCAAACATAGCCTTACAGTTTGAGGCTGGAAACTTACCTATCACATACCTTGGTTTGCCCCTTTCATCCACTTTATCACAACAAGGGACTGCCAAACCTTAGTTAAGAAAATCACAAGAAGGGTGAGCTGTTGGACATCTAAATTTCTGTCTTATGCTGGTAGAGCAGTTCTTATTAAGGCTGTTCTGTGCTCCATACAATCATACTGGTCACAAGCTTTTGTTCTCCCAAAGAAGATATTTGACCAAATCAACCAAAATCTTGATGAGATTTTTCTGGTCTGGGGTTGATATCAAGAAAAGTGGAGCCAAAGTTGCTTGGCAAGCTGTTTGCAGGCCTAAAATTCATGGGGGTTTGGGGTTTCCAGACCTTGAGCTCTCTAACATCATTACCAATTTGAAGCACTTGTGGAAGCTTTGTTTGAGAAAGGAAAGTTTATGGGTGGCTTGGTCTTACAGCTTTTGAGGGCTAAGAGTGTTTCGACAGTTAGGCGAACAGCTCTAAGCTCAGGGTTTTGGAGGAAGCTCCTTAGGTTAAGGGATGGATATAGAGTTAATGGTGCTTGATTGTCAATGGTGAATAATTGTTTGTCCTCATTTCTTCTGGTTTAGCTGAGGCATCTACTTTGTATGTTGCTGCTACTTGAGCTTGTGTACAATGTCCTATGTGAGGGTTGTTGGATGTTTTGTTTCATATTTTGTTGTCCCTACTATAATTGGGACTTCTTGTACATTTTCTACAATATATATACACAAGCTTACCTTTTAACCAAAAAAAAAGTGAGGGCATACCGTCACAAAATCAGGAACCCTAAAACTAGGGATCGAGCATGGGTCAAGGGAATACCTGCCCACAAAATCTAAAACACCATATCTTGGAGGCACCCCAAGATATCAAAAACTTCCCATAAGATACATTTCAGTAGCACCCCAGGTTCTCTATGTGTAGTACTGTGCACCCTCTCATTTCTTTCACACCAAAGAAAATACAGTGTGGCTGTAAATAGTAATCTAAACATTTTATGCCTACAAGTCTTGGCTGCAAACTGTTGGGAGAAAGTAAAAGCCAGATCCATCATAGAAGTGCCTCTCTGCAAGTTCAGGTTGAAGGTATCAGGATCCACGTTCTCCTCATGATGCGTGCAGAGGAAACAAATTATTTCATTATCTATGTCTAATTATTTCATTATCTATGTTCTTGACTTGCAACCTTAACCAACCATCTTAGAGGGGAAAGTTACCATATCCATGATTGAAAGTTATCCACTCCGCCACACGCCGCAAGTTGGCCACATGCGCTCACGTGCTGACATTCCAGCTCACGCGCGTACACGTCAGATTCCCAGATCCGGTCTGCCATGTCACCTGTCCAGTCAACAGACAGCCATGTCATCATCACGTCAGCTGCCATGTCAGCACAAGTACCACGTCAGCCCTAGGTTCCATTTCTCTGCCACGTCGGCAGTGTTAGAAAAAAATTTTGAAGGCACCATTCCAGCCCAGTATTTTGCGCTGATTCCAAATATGCAGTCAGTTTTTGCATTTGAGATCTCTAAATGGCACAAAATAGGATCATTCCCCTTATTCAAGCTGTGGTGAAAGAGCTTGACCAAAGAAAGACATGTTTGCAGACTCCCACAGGTTTTGTTACACCATCAGGAGGCTGCCCATACGGTGGCTTTTCAGTCAACATCCTCTCATCACAACGGATGACACAACCGCTATTATCACTCTCTTTACTGCACTTTTTGTTGGATTCGAGGGGATTCTTTTCAGGAGTGTCGCACTCGTGCTAGACTGACTTCATCTACTCCAACTATGACTACCTCTCACACTGTGCCACTACAGTCACAAGCTCCAGCTCCAGCCCCAGTACCAGTGTCTAGCACTCCTAGCAAGTCTTCATCTTTCTCATCTACATTCTCTGCAACTGACCTTGAGGCAATTATCAATCAAGTTTTAACTAGAATACAAGGTACACCTTCCTCTTCTCTTTCTACCACACCAGGTAAGAATACATGCTGGTATTTTGATTCCGCTTGCTGTAATCACATTACATTCAATTCAATACATTACAGAGTTCCATATTCTCTCTCTATATATCCAACATGATATCTAATAAATTTTTGTTCTGGGACAATTTTTTATGTGATGAACTAATTGAAAGTTGATTATTTTTTTTGTTGAACCATATAATTTACATACATTTTTATTTTTTTAATAAATGAGCATGACAAATAACCAAATCAACTTTGTAAGTTGGCTACAGTGGAACATAAGTTTACAGAAATAAAATATGTACTAATATATATATATATATATATATAGCTGTATACACACACATACATATAAATGAAAATGTTTATAGAAGTCTCTTTTTTTAACAATTTCTTGATGGAAAAGGTCCTAAAAAGCAATATGAAACGCCAGACCCAGAGTTGAGGTACTACTGCAAGTGCTTCAAATGTAAAGACGTCATTTTATGACTCTTCATAAATTGATTTTTTTATGAAACTATGCAGTCACAAGGCTTCTCCAGTCTCTAGTTCCATGGAGCGCATTAAACACTGAACAAAGTCTTTTCTTCAAACCTCTAATTCTTCTTATCCACTATCATAAAATTGGAAGCAAATTTTAGTCTTAATGCTGAGGTCTATACTCCTGAGTATTTATTCTATTAAAACTTCTATAATGTTCGTATCATACACACTTCCTAAAACATCTGCGCCATTACTTGGTGTATTGGTGCAATTGTAAAAGCACAAACTATCAGCCGTTACAACAGGTTCCAGTTTATTGGCGATTACTTTCTACCCAAAGGTTAAGTTTGTACCTGTCCGCTCCTTACAACATCCCGCATTGATGGGGCCAACACTAGGTAAACTGCCTTTGTCATGTCGTAAAACAACTCTATGCTAGTTACAGAATAGAATGCAAAATAAAATGCTTTCGATGATGGAAAAGAAAATTTTAAAATGGCCTTTTTAAGGCAAAATACAGAGAGAATGTTATCTCAACAAAATAAGTGAAGACGCACACAAGACTACGCAAGTTCTCAGTGCTTTTTTTTTAAGGCGAAACACAAAAGAACATTATTCACTGAAGTGAGAGATAATGATTACGTTTACCAAGCTTAAGCAATTTTTTAGGTCATGTAAAATAAATTGAGCCTTGTTTCAGTTCCATGCTTGAACTATCACAAAACATATTCTTTTCATATTAGGGATATTGACATATGACAAAAAAGAAGAGGGAAACTTACTAGACACTACAAATAGGAATTAAAAATGAACGAGAATTGAATACCCATATTGTAAGAAAATCCTATGAAACAGGCAGCTTCTAATCAAAATATTTGTAATACACTTCACTGCTAATTTTTCCCTCCAAGATATTTGTACAGTGGTAAGAAATGAAACGTAAGTATAAATTAGTCTCATCTCTTCATTAAACTGTTTGCAGGACTTTAAATATTTTGATGTTTTCCACTCCCAAATAAATTTATAATCTCATATTTCCTAACACGTCCACTAAGTGATCTATACTGTGACTTACCATTCAATTAGATGTCCAACTGTAAGATAAAAATTCTGAAGAGCAGTTCTTCTAAATATACCTCAGCACACATACAGCTGAAGCTATAAGCGGAGAGCTTGTTTTCCAAAATTATGACTTACATCCATAATTAATGCAGTTTTCCATTCATGTTCTATCACAAATTATATAATGGAGATGAAAGAATCTATTGAAGTACAAAATGCTTTATTTCTCCCTTTTGCTAATCTTTTCTTGTTCCTTCTTGCATGACTATTAGAAACCTGAACAAACACAGCAACTAAACAACTAAAATAATAATCATTAGTCCTAAGTACAGAGTATAGAGACCATATTCTTTAGGTAGGAGAGGTTAAATGTGCAACAAATTTCGCTCATACAAAAATATTACACAAACTGTATCCCTATTACCAATGCATGAAAATATATGCAAAACAAATTTGTTTGCAGGTGAAACTTATATTTAAATGTGTTCAACAGATCACATTATGCATGAAATTTTAATTAATTATTCAACTTACGGGAAGATGAGGACCCATCAGAAGCACCTATCCCTGGTCTAGAAGCAGCTCCATTTTGAAAAACCTTCATGAAATGTTCAAATGAATTAATTAGAAAACATTATTTTAAACCACCACAGCCTCAAAGGGATAGCTCAAACTCCTACTTGGTCGGCAAACTGAGCATCCTTTGACGAATCTGTCTCAGTTGATTCTTTGAAACTCTCAAAAGGACTCTTCTGCAAAGTTTCTTCAGGAGAAATATCTACAAAAGCTGCAAATGTAAGTTGCATTAGAATTTATATTAGAGAACAAACTAAACAATCAAATAAGAATTTCCCAATAGATTATTAATTGAGGAACAGGTGGCTATTATTTGTCAAGCATATTCACTTCCTAAGGAAAATGCAATATAATGCACAGATACATGCTCATTGCCTGCCCATGCATGTATGCACTAGCATACACACACAAAAAAACAGGTACCAAATGCTTCAAGGTCTAGGCAAATATCTGTACAAGTGTCACCACATATCCCCAAGAAAGAGAGAGAAGAAAATAAGTGTCAGATATTAGGACCCACTTTCTGTGGTGTAAGCCCATTGTCCCAGCAGAATAATTCAGCAAATTTGACTGCCACTGATCCAGGAAATTTTTTCTTTACCCAAATATAGCTACACGCACTGCTTTACTTCTCTTTGTTACCCATATATGTGATATCATCTACCATGAATGAGTTGTATCAAATGTGTAATAATTTATTTGCATGATTATCATGTTTGTATCTTCAACTTACTCTAAAAAAATTTAAATAAATAAATACAGAAAACTGAAAATGCCCAAATTGCTACAAAGATTTTTTAGGAAGATTAGGGGAAACTCGTGTGTGAAGAGGAATCACTGAAATTGGTAGAGACTACACATAGTTCATATGCTCATCTTAAAACTACTTAGTGTCAGTTGCTGCTCGTTCTATATATCGACAATAAATAACAGAAAAATTAAGAAAGAGATAATTTGATACCATATTTCTTTGGTTTGTTCTCTAGTTCTGTGTCATCTTTGATATCTGAGGCAGGTGGGATCTCCACTTTGGTCGCAGCTACATCTACAGTCACTGCAGACTGAGACGCAACTGGAGAAGTTGAGGTAGCTGGACGTGATGCTGGGGGCGTTGGAAAAGGAAAAGGTGATCCAGGGGAGAAGGCAGGATTATTGAATTGGTTATTTTGTGAATCCATCTGCCCCATCAAGGTCTTGACAGCTTGTTGCATTGCATATTTCTGGAAAAGGAAAATATTCAAATCACAATTTGCAGAGACAAACAAACATATAGAAAGAAATTAAGTTAACAAATTCTCGTGACAAATTATAATAATTAGATAAACTGAAGTCTGTGTGTGTCTAAGGACATTTAAAAATATATATAGCCAATCTAAAATTATTATCAAAACAGCACAAAAATTAAAGATAAACAATATGTTCAAATGCCAAAAAAAAACAAAAAACAAACTTTTTTAAAATTGTAGAATTTAAAAGACCTGAAGAAGAGCCCCACTGTACAAGTGTATAGTAGTCAACACAAGATTAGTTACCCCGAGAGAGAGAGAGAGAGAGAGCAGAATGCAACAAAGAGACCCATGCAAATTAGATTATTGTTCACAAAAAAACTAAATAATGTAGTGAAAGATAAAGATGTGGTCAGGAGAGTAATGGAACCCCAATAGGAAGAAACTCAGCTCTAAAGCATCCCACACATAATACAACCTCCACAAACTAAGTTTTTAGGAAAACAGGAACCCAGCAACCATCTACCTAATTTCCTGAAGCATTTCCATCCAAGGAGAAGACAATTTAATCTCAATAATAGAATTTGAAAAGGTATCTATAAAAATCTGAGTCATCGCCGTTGTCATCCTTGCCTTTATCCCCCATATGAATGGGGTCAAGGGCCATCAAGGCACATGAATTTCTAATTACTTCATCTAATATAAGTTTTGGCCGGACCCTATGTCTCTTACCTTCTATGCAAACTATTCTTTCTTTTCTTATTAGTGCATCTACATGTCTATATTGTATCTGAACACACCACCTAAACCTTATTTCTTTCATTTTATCATTAGGAAGCCCTACTCCTAATTTTCGCTCACACGTTGATTATTAACCCTACTTTTTTAGGACTCCTCCCAACATTCTCATTTCAGTCACATGAATGTGTTGTTCTTTTTTCTTTTTCTTTAAAGATCTAAATGATCCTATATAAATTGCTCAAAGAAAAATGAAAATCCACCATCCTAAAGACCAAAAACCTTGAAACATCACTACTAAACAAAAATTCAAGAATGGGAGTGGGAGTGAATAGGATTTGGGATAGGTCATTTTTGTGTCAGGTTGATTTATAGCATTAAGTAAGGGTTGTCCAGTCACCCCTAGCTTCGTATAACGAACAGCTTCAGGTCAGTTTGACAAGTTCACATCATAAATCTATCGAGTCCAACTTATCAAAAAATAAATAAATCTGTCGGGTCCAGTCCAGTTCGATATATTTTGGTAAGATTGATACATTTTCATAATGCAAAACCGAACATTTTGAAACCCAGCCAATATGGTTTGGTAATTAACCACGGACAGAAGAGCAGCCACAATTTATATGTGAACAAATGGTAAGAGTATTATAAATCTAGAAATGAACCAAGTTGGCGCATGTGAAACCAGACTTTGTTTGAGAATAGGCGGGATGATGAGAGAAAGAGAGAAATTTAGATAAACAGCTTCAGAAGAAACAAACAAAAAATGTTAGTCAAATGTTGAAAAAGAGTTGCATTCACCTAGCTGTTCTAGCAATATGAAAAATGCAAAATTTTCAAGCGAATAAAATAGACATAATTAAAAAATCTAAACTAATTGAAATCTAGATGAATTAACAGACTAAATTTGGATTGGAACTATTAGAATGCTTCCGATGTAAATCAATCATCCCTATGATAGTTGATCCAATAAAATTATCAAAATTTTCAATAAATTATACAAGGGAATTTGTAACAAGTTTAATATCAAAATAAATTCACATGATGGTCAATCTAATAAAATTATCAACTCTTAAAGGAGTGGCCCCGTATTGTATAATGTTGAAAATCAAAATTGTTAAGCTACACACACGTCAGAAACATGGTTTGGTAATTAACCACAGACAGAAGAGCAGCCACAATTTATATGTGAACAAATGGTAAGAGTATTATAAATCTAGAAATGAACCAAGTTGGCGCATGTGAAACCAGACTTTGTTTGAGAATAGGTGGGATGATGAGAGAAAGAGAGAAATTTAGATAAACAGCTTCAGAAGAAACAAACAAAAAATGTTAGTCAAATGTTGAAAAAGAGTTGCATTCACCTAGCTGTTCTAGCAATATGAAAAATGCAAAATTTTCAAGTGAATAAAATAGACATATAATTAAAAAAATTAAACTAATTGAAATCTAGATGAATTAACAGAGTAAGTTTGGATTGCAACTATTAGAATACTTCCGATGTAAATCAATCATCCATATGATAGTTAATCTAATATACTTATCAAAAAAATATGATAGTTACTCTAATAAAATTATCAAAATTTATAATAAATTATGCAAGGGAATTGTAACAAATTTAATATCAAAATAAATTCACGTGATGGTTAATCTAATAAAATTATCAACTTTTAAAGGAGTGGCCCCATATTGTATAATTTGAAAATCAAAATTGTTAAGGTTGTCAGAAACATCTGTTCGACAATGTTAACAACTGGATTGATTTTACTAAAATGTCATCTATATCATTTTATTGCACAAAGCGAGGTTATTATTGTCTTCACATTCATTACAATGGTAGAATACACATATTTAAATTTTTTCTTGTGATGACCAACATATTGCATCCCTGTCAGTCAACTTTAACCAATGGGAGGTTTCAGTAACATATGTAAACCTTAAGGGAGGTTATAGTAATTTCCTTTTTCTTTTCTTTTTTTGATAATTGAGGTTAGAGTAATGTCTGAAAATGCAGGGGTAGGGTGTTGCCAAACCTCGAGGAGGTCAACATAATTACCCAAAATTGTTAAAATTCGTAGAAAAAAATAAGTGAAGCAGCCGTATATCACAGCTTCAAGAAGCTTTTTTTAAAAAAAATTTATATTCATACAAGGATTTGGGATTCAAAGTGGAAGCATCAATGGAAGTTATTGATATGATTGGCACAAATGAGTTCCACGGGTTTTGCCTCCACTTTCAGAGGAGCAAGGATAGATAATTAGGGTTAAATTTTATTATTTCGGTAATGTTTTAATTCCAAAGATATTTTAGTACTTTATTATTTTAGGGTTAGGGTTTGTTTATGCTTTGCCAATAAAAGGCTATTATGTAATCAAACAATTTAGTATTGGCCCATTGGGGAATACTGATTATCATGTTCTACGGATTTCTCTCTGTTCTTCTTACACTTCTGTTCTTGCTTTCCTTAACCCCTCTGCTGTCCAGTCTATACATTCACCCCCTGTTCTCATCCCATTTGTCTGTCTTCTCACCCTTTCTTCTAGGTTCACCTCTTCTTCTGTCTTCTGATCTCTTACTTTCTTTCTGATCCTACATCAACTTGGTATTAGACCAATCTCATCCTCCATCAAGTAGTATCAGTCTATCAGAGCACACTACCCATCCTCGAGGCACCTATCTGAGAAAGTCCTCTTAAGCCTCAACAACCTCCTCAGTATATACTATACAGAATCTATTAGACTATGTTTGTTATAACAGGAGGAAAAAGAAAATGAAGTATAATATTAGTTATGAGAGAAGAAAAGAAATGAAAAGATAGTGTTAAACTCTCATCATATTTGGTTGATTAAGAAAGAAAAAAATGAAAAGATGGTGTTAACCTCCCATCGTGTTCAGTTGATTAACGAGGAAAAAGAAATGAATTGAGAGTGTTGTTTGGGAACAGAAAGGAAAGGAAACTATTTTAATGAATTTGCACTGTACCTTTTACATTTAAAAGGTAAATTGGTAGGTGAGGAGTGGTTTCAGATAAGACAGAGACCGACCAAGCTTTAATGTCGATTACATGCAATTGTTGAGCAAATAATTGAAAAGAAAGTTACTGGGACTTTAACCACTGTTTATCATCTGCCAAGGCCTAGGACTCGTGGTATTTTGATTTTGTTTCTTACAAAAATAAGGGCAAATTTGGTATTTCTAAGTTCTATTAAAACCTGCAGTATTTCCTTTCATTTTCTCCCATTTTTGGAAGGATAGCAAAACCTGCTTTTCATGGGTTAGTGTATCCCTCCAAATCCTTTCATTTCCTTCCTTTCCAAAATTGTATACCAAATACAATATAACATTTCTCTCCATTTACTTTCTTTTCTTATCCTTCCGTTTCTCTTCAACCAAACTAAGTCTTGGAGACATCTGGAAGAGGATGTCGCACACCACCCCACTCAGCGACCTAGCATGACTATCTTCAGCAATCTTGGACAGGCACGAGGGAATAACTCATATTGGGACTATCATCACACCAATTATCAAGTCAAAATCGAATCCAATGCCCACTCCCAACTACAAGCCAAATGTGCTTCAAGAACTCATCCACCCTTTCTTGATCCTTTTCAAACATCCGCATTGTAAAAGATACATGCCTGCCTAGAATAACAATCAACCATCTACTTCCCTTCTACTACTCTCTTCCATAGATTGTCCCTAAAACCCTTACCTCCACAACATCTCCCTAGCAAGGTTTGGTTGAACCACCCCAATCCTTCTCTTTCATTGGGAGGCAAACCAATTTCTAGTACATAAAATTTTGACATTAAATTATGTGTAGATTGATATAATTGTGACATCACAGTATACTTGAATTTCTCTCCATAAATTTTAATAGCTTCATGGTGTTTTAGATAGTGTTATCCATCAGCTGATGGTACAAGTTCCATACATTTTCAACTTTTTACCATATATGTGCCACTGCAACAATATGTTATAATAAAAATATGGAAATTTACCCTCAGATAATTGCCAGTTGCATATCTTTATCAACTAGACCTCCTGATAATATGAAAAGAAGAATCACAAAAATAAACAAGTAATTTGGACAGACATGTTCACACCTTGTAAGGAAGTCAAACTCACCTTTAAGTTCGTAGCCGCCTGCAATGTAAAACAGATTGTCAAAAGTGGATGAAGGTTAAAAATAAATAATAAATATTCAACTATAAAAACTAATAGTGTGTTGAAGAATCGTGCAAGTTATAGTCGTTCTTACCCATGAAAAAAGTGCTGAGAGGCCAACACCAACTCCAATCCAAAAGAGGGGTGACCCTCTAAAAAATAGAAACATCAACGAAGAATAATAAGGCATGAGAACATCTAAGTGAAAAATACATAAGTTAAAATAACACATAAAACTGTCGCACAATAGTTGACATGTAATAATTCAATCATTAGCATAAATAACAATGAAGTCAACAGAAAACAAATTAAAAGAAAATAATATAATAAAACAAAAAGGGCAGGAAACATTACACGTGTGACGACGGAGGCGGCACCGAAAACTGTGGGCTAACACCAACTGAAGATGTTTCTTGACTAGTTGAAGAAGTAATGCTTGCAAAACTTTCCTTTCCTAGCTTCTTTAACACTGTATTGTAGAAATATTAAAAGAAGCAGGAGGAAATCAAAACCAGAAAAATATAATGAATAGCATCATAGGACATAACAACGGATGAATTACATTCATAATTTCATATACATAAAAAGGAACATATTAAGGTGAACCAAATAAAGCTGTTGACTACAAAACCAGAGTAGAAGGAATAAAAGGCAACAATATTCACAGGCATTACAAGAAAGGAGCCAAAATCTTAATAGAAAGGAACTGCTATATTATTATCCCAATACATGGGCTTTAGGGGGAGGGGGGGAGAAAAACAAGAGAGAACAAAGAGGAAGAGAAGAGGAACAAGAAATATTGCTGAAAACTAAGGGAGGTAAGTCAGAGTTCAACACTCACTCAAGCACATAACCATGGATTTGATTGGCATGTTGAATGAAAAAGATAACAGAAAAAGAAGTCGTTAATCAAGTGGACCTGCAAATGTGTTCCACTTCCGATCCCGTGTTGCCCCTCAACAGCAACAAATAAACACCACTTGAAAGCAGAAGAGGTTTACTGGATGAAGATTAGTAGCAGCACCTTAAAAAAGTATTCAAAAGGTATAGAAAAGATGTATCCAAGACCTCAGACTTGATTTGGCATGTGTTACATGATGCCTATGGCAACACTTGGGAGTTTCGATATTTAAGATCGAGTTGTTGAGTTTTATTTTACTCTTTCTTTAGATTAATTTGATGTTGGTTCAGTTTAATGCATGTTTTCTTATGTTTTAAGAGCCAGTGTTTTGCTAATAATGATGCTTCATGAAATCATGCATCGTATTTCTGGTGTTGTTTTGTGGAATTGGACCTTTATATGTGGACTGTAGTAGTCAAATTCAAAGTTTCTATTTATGGAGTTCAGATCCCATTAGAGTTAAAATACTTGAAAGTATATTTGAAATGCTTTCACTTACAAAAGAGAACAAATTCTTGAAAAAATTTCCTACAATTGTGTTCTGAAGAGGATTGTATGAGAGAATTCCAAACCTATGTTTGATGCAAACAATATTCTATTTCTAGGTATGGTCCTTGATTTTTCTTCTTCTTATTCTTCCTTCTCTTACTTTTTTCAAGTTTAGAAGCCCATAGTTAGCCCCTTTTTTTTACCCATAAAATCCTTCTAAACAAGCCTAACCAAAAGAACCCAAATCAGGAAAGGTACTCTTCACAGCCCCTAAAATAGTCCAGAAACTTTGCCTGCCCTTAGCTAATTGAAACCTCAAACCCTTACCTCTCTTACACCTTTGACAAACCTAAAACCAAATATCTTCTTTAATTGTAAGCCACAAAAAGAAAAAGAACCTAATAATAATAATAATAATAATAATAATAGGTTTTTGTAATCTGTAACATGATCGATTGATTCAATACAATTGAAGGCTTTATTTTCTCTCCTTCCATTCTCTATCTTGGTGCACAAAAGTTAGGGATGGGCAAAGTTCGCTGAATGCAGGGTAAAACCGTAAAACATAATGAATGTCATTTGAATGAAGATTGCTAGGTTGTGGAAAGCAAAAAGGATAGTGGGTATGCTACATTTTATAAAATGTAGTACAATAAGGACGGGCATATATTAGGAAAGCATTGGGTGGTTCAAATGATAAGAGTCGTTTGCAGTAGATATGGTGAGCCTAGGTTGGGGTGGTGGAGGAGATTCAGGCTTTAGCAGATATCCTAGGTTGTGGTGTTGGCGCTCTTCCAATCTCTTATTTGGGGCTCCCTTTGGGTACCTCGTCGAGGAGCATTTCTGTTTGGGATCCGATTCTAGAACGGTTTGAGAGGAGGCTATCAGGTTGGAAGAAACAGTACTTGTCGAAAGGGGGGAGTGTTACGCTTATGAAAAGCACCCTTTCCAATCTCCCGGCCTATTTCATGTCGCTCTTTCCGATGCCTATGAAAGTTGTTAGAAGACTCGAAGAGATTCAGAGGAAGTTTTTGTGGGGAGGTTTGGGTGATGAATTCAAATACCACTTAGTTAATTGGGAGAGGGTATGCACCCCCATCAAAAAGGGGGGCTTGGGTATTCGAAGGCTGGATGTATTCAATAAGGCGTTGTTAGGCAAGTGGTTGTGGAGGTCTGGGGGAGAGAGGTCCAAGCTTTGGATGCAGTCCATAAGACATTCAAAGAAAGCAAATTTAAAAAGAGATATCTTAAGAAAATAAATTTCTTCACAGCGCAACCAACCCAAGACCTTGTGAGGTCAAGTTTTAGTCTTAATATATACTCAGTTTATGTCAATTTTTAGGTTAGTACGTTGTTGGTAAATTTCTAATATGCTTGCTATGTTCTAGAGTACATGATATTTCTGTGATTTATTATTATACATGGGTTAGCTGAGGCAAATGGGTCATTTTTGGGCCAAGATGTTGTATTGGATCTTTAGTAATGGATTTCAATAGTTTTTACATGGTTTTACTGGTCAAAGTCTCGTAATCTCTAAATTGAAGTCCAAGTCATATTAAAGGTAGATTACTTTGAACTAATGGGCCATTAGCCCAATGGTAGAACCTCCCTATCTTCAAAGAAGAGGGGAGGGGTTCAAGCACCCGGCGTGGGCAATGTTTTTTTTTTTTTGGTTAAAAGGGTAAGCTCGGCGTGGGCAATGTTGTGTGTGAGTACTTACCTGATCAAAAATAAATAAAAAGTAGATTACTTTGAGGCTATATGTACCTATATAAAGCATTTAATTCCACAATAGCATTTCTGCACTTTAGAAATTACTTAATGCAATTCTGACCATTAGTATGATGCCTTACTTGTTCTTTTTATCTTCTTTGTTTCTTTAATGTTTCTACATTTTTAAGCTATTGTAATCCAAAATCAAATCTGTATAACCACTTTTCTACCCTTAAAAGACCCTATAATGTTAGGACATTTTAATGAGAATCAGTTTTTTCATGTGATTTTTAATACTATAAGCTAGAAATACATAATATTTGATAAATTATATTTGTCCATTTAAAAAAAAAAAAAAAAACTCAGTCATTATAAATGCATATAATATGATAAACGATTTCTTTTCCTATTTGAAACTCAAGACACATCCACTTGCCCCTATGGGGACTTGAACCCTCTACCTTCTATGGGAAGGTGAGGAAGTACCACTAGGCTACAACCCTTGGTGGTAAACAACTATCATTTTCACTCTACATATATATATATATTAAATTTGTACAAAACACTTACATACAATATATACATACATATATATAATGTCTATCTTAACATAATTATATCATGTTTCTTAAGACTTTGTTTTATTGTGGTGTCTAGAACATAATGTATCTTATCCCATATCCATCTTAATGCTTCATAACAAAAGATGAAGAAAACTTGGTGACATTTTGGCTTTGACTTTCATAGCTTTGATAATCACCATAGATATTGATGATTAATTTTCATAGCTTTGATATTAATGTTTAATTTATCAACTGTGCATAAGAAAATAACATCAATGTTAACAATATTTTCACAAATCTTAATCTTCACTCTTGCAGTAAGGTTGTTAGAAATCAACAACTCCTCCAAACTTAAGCAAGCAGTCTCCTCTCTCTCGCTCTCTCTCTCCCATTTGCTTCAAATGACTAACAATGGGTCTCGCAACTGTTTGATCCCAAGTTCCAAAAATACAATCCATTTTTTTCTCAAGCCAATCCACAGACTCACTTAGTTCAAATCAACAATCACTTATGAAATTGTACAATTTAGTCTCCCCACCTAACAGGGCAAACTCATTTCATCAGCTAAATAGATAATACAATCCAATCTACTAACTCGGTGTTCTCTAGCAAATTTTGAGATCTTATCAACTATAAATATCTTTGTAATCTCCTGCATGCACACATATATACTTGTATAAATGATACCACATGAACACCAAAATAGCCCAAAAATAATATAAACTAAAACAGAGAGATCATAAGCATTAAAAATAGCAGCCCATGCCATGAACAAATTCATATATGCCTATTGATGAAGATATATAAATATATATATAGAGAGAGAGAGGGAGAGAGGCAAAAGAAGTACCAATTAATTTGGTGGTTCTGGGAGGGGCATGACCGTCGTTACCCTGAGGCGGAGAGAGAGCTGAAATGGAAGTTGCGGTTCTGGTGAGAGAGATTTCTCGACCACTTCTTCTGGTAGTCCTTCGGAACAGATGAGGAATACCAGAGGAGTACCTGTTTGAGACCGTATCTCTTGGGTTGGGAGACCAACCCACTACCATTTTCGGGGAAGAAACTAGGGCTAGGTTTTCCATCGATAATTACCAATTTATAAACCAACAACACCACTATCAAGTAGATATATCTGTGCGTGCAGTGTGTCTATATATATCAACAGAGAGAGAGAGATGTAGAAGATGTATTAGAAATAGGCTGAGAAGAGGCTGGTGCTTCTGGCTTCTGCCGAGGCTTTGAGTAAAAGAGTTGAGTGAAGTTTATCAGCCTGCGCATGAGGATGGTAATGGGGCGGGTTAAATGGATGATCCGATATAATAATACAGTTTCGCTTCTTTTCTTTTTCTTTTTCTTTTTTTTTTTTTTTAACTTCGGATATTAACTTCCCTAGGTAAATGTCAAAATGAAACCATATTTATTATGTTTATGAATATGAGGCTTATGAGCTAATTTACAATAAATCTTAAAATAATAATAAGAATAATAATAATAATAATAATAATAATAATAATAATGTTGTGTTCGGTACTAATTCACATAATCTTTTTCAACCGATGTCGCTCTCACGTTCCGAGGTACTAATTCACATAATCTTTTTCAACCGATGTCGCTCTCACGCTCCGAGCGCATCCTCACACTCACTCAAATCCTCCTATTTATAACTTAATTCTGCCGCTCTCACGCTCCCGCTATCGAATTCTCTTTTGCTCCCGCTTTATGTCATTTAGGTTTGATATTAAAATGAAGTATATTGAATTTTTTTTTTTTTTCGATCGACGATGATAATGTCCGGCCTCTTATTTCATAATTTAGGCTCATGTAATCTTTCGTCTCACCTACAAAAGGACAATTACTGAAAAATTTTCTTGAAAGTAACTTCAAGGGAATTAGGACAATAGACGTCAAACGTGAGTGAGATACTCTGTCATTAGACTATCCCTAATTTTAAGCTATAATAAATTGACAATTGCATTTTCTAAATCCTCTTATTAAAGTTGGAAACTCCATTGGAATAGAAAAATAGGGACTATTACATATTTTTTGTACTTAAGTACTCCGTAACTCTTAATGCCGCCTTTTGCATTTAGGAATGTTTAGTTCATCTATGAATTCATGATCCAAACTCATTTGAATTGGACTTTCAACCTCACGATTATGCGATAGATTCATAAATAAAGAATCCATAAAGATTGAACCACATCACAGTCTTCAAATCATCATTATCTATAAATAATTTAAATAATAAAAATAAGTTAATCATAAGTTACCAATTAAAAATGTTTCTATAAGTTTTGGACTCTTTAATTATTCATTATTATTTCTATCATATTTTGAGTTTATTAATTATAAATAAATAAGTATTTACGATCCTTTTTTTCCAACTGTATTTTGGACTCTTTAATTAGTTATTATTATTTTCAAAAGATTTTCTAAAAATTGTGGACTCTTTAGAAACCTATAACATTAGTTATTATTTTTTTCAAAAGAGGTTTTATAAATTTTGAAAAATTTAGAAACCAATAACAATCAAAACATAGTAATAATAATTATAAATAAATACAGTAGTTATTTACGTTCCTATTAATTATTTATTTCTATCCCCTTTTTTTATTCTTTAGTTATATTTTGGACTCTTTAGGTTTATTTAAGTTTTTTAAAAGAGTTTCTGTAAATTTTGGAATCTTTATAAACCTATAAGTTATAACAATCAAACACATAATAGTAATAATTAAATTCTTTATTTATATTTAGTTATTTAAGTTATTTTTTCTCAATTCTAAATATATTTTTTCTAATGATTAAATTTGTACTTTAATAATAGTATAGATATTGAGTGCATTTTGATTTACATTGATTGTTATTCATGTTTATTGCACATGTCTTTCAATTAGTAAGTATAAATGTGTAAGTGTGTAGTACTATCAAATAACTTAAGTTTTTGGGTTAGAGGATAACTATCTGACTCGTTATAGACCCAGTGTCACGCCAAGCGCCCGATCTGAAAGTATTAGGGTCTATGCAACGACTCACTCTATCACATGGTATGATATTATCCGCTTTGGGTCTAAGTTCGCACGGTTTTATTCTTAGATTTATCCAAAAAGGCTCATACTAATTAGAGTGACACACCCACATATAAGCACTTCACCTTTTCCTTTCCTAGGCGATGTGGAATTGTGCATCCGTAACTCGCCAGTGTGGTAGTCTGTCAGTGTCCCGCACCCGTCACGGCACACCCGCCCACAGGGTTATCACAATCCACCCCCCTTAGAGGCTCGACGTCCTCGTCAGCACACTTCCGACTGGGTCAGGCTCTGATACCATTTGTAACGACCCACTCCATCACATGGTATGATATTGTCCGCTTTGTGTCTGAGCCTGCACGGTTTTGCTCTTTGGTTTTACCCCAAAAGGTCTCATACCAATTGGAGTGACACACCTACATATAATCACTTCACCTTTATCTTCTCACGCGATATGGGATTGTGCACTCGTAGCTCGCTAGTGTGGTAGCCTGTCAGTGTCTAGCACCCGCCTACGGCACACCCGCCACAGGGTCATCACAATCCACCCCCCTTGGAGGCCCGATGTCCCCGTCGGCACACTTCCGGCTGGGTCAAGCTCTGATATCATTTGTAACGATCAACTCCATCACATGGTATAATATTGTCCACTTTGGGCCTGAACCCGTACGGTTTTAGTCTTGGATTTACCCCCCAAAAGGCCTCGTACCAATTGGAGTGACACACCCACATATAAGCACTTTACCTTTCCCTTCCCCAAGTAATGTGGGATTGTGCACCCGTAGCTCGCCAGTGTGATAGCCTGTCAGTGTCTTGCACCCGCCACGGCACACCCGCTCACAGGGTCATCACAGTCTATCACCCAGGGTAGGTAGGCGTTGTAAGTTCGGATGAGGAAAAATATTAGAAGTGTCTCACATTAGATCCGATGGGAAGTGAGATGGATAGACATGCAACACTACTCAATAGATTAAGATTTTAGGTCAGAGGGCAAGACTCGTCCCGTTACACCTAGTTTGTTACACTTAGTTTATTGATTTTACCAAAAACTTACATATAAACATTTATGTATTTGTTTTGTATATATGTTGCAACAAATTATACTTTTCACTTATTTTAAATGGGTTAATTCATTTTCATTTGGCCATGGTAATATATATACATATACATATACACGAATAAGAATAAGAAGAAGAAGAAGATTGGACCATCAAAACAAGCCTAATCCAATAACCAATTAGATATTTTAGGGATTACATCAGATTGGATTACATTTAATGTCTAATTCAATCCATTTGACCCTGATTCCAGTATCCCTGTATTATTCTTAGGTCTAGTTTGTTCCGCAATAATGAAATGAACACAATATTGAAATGATAGGGAATGAAATGAAGTTGGGAATAGTATAGTCATTCTTAGTTTTTTTGTTTGGTTGTAAATATGAAATGATGTAGAAATAAAAAGATAATCACAAGTTTAAGTAGTAGTAGTGGAATGAGGTGGCAAGGCAGTGGTGGTGGCGGTGGCGGAAGGCCGTGGCGACGATGGTAGTGGAGGTGGCGGTAGGCCATGGCAACGATGACAGTGGTGGCAAAAGGCGGCAACGATGGTGGTGGTGAAAGGCTATGGGAGTGACAGTAATCAAATGAAAGTTCATGAAATGAATCTTCATTCCATCCGTTTAGATGTGGAATATATATATTTTTTTCATTCTAAGGAAATATTCATTTTTACTTTAAATTTCATACAAAGCAAATTAATGATTTTCATTCCATTCCATTCCATTTTTTTTTTCATTCTAAGGAAATAGCCATTTTTACTTTAAATTTCATACCAAGCAAATTAATGATTTTCATTCCATTCCATATTTTTGTGCCGAAAAAAAATCTATGGTCGGTTTGCAAATTAATGATTTTCATTTCATTCCATTTTTTTGCACACCATAACTAAAAAAATTCTATTGTCTGTTAATACTTATCCATTTGCTAAAAAAATAAACGAAGCACTCATCTATTTGATATTACCTGCCACACTCAACAGAGAATAATCAAACCCTTACCAACCATTAAATGGATTTACTTTGTGAAACGTCAAATAAGAAAGGTTTTATTTATTTATTTATTTATTTTTTTATTTTTTAAACAATATATATAATTCTTATTTTTAAATATATATATATATATATATATATATATATATATATATATAAAATTCTTATTAAGTTTAGTGTGGTTACTTTTTTTTTGTATGTGACAGTTCACAAAATTGCCTCAATTTTGTTTTATAATTCTTATTTTACCTTCATTTTTATTTTATTTATTTTAAATACAAATATAAGGATAGAATCTTACCATGGCCATCATGAATCAACAAATTTTTTCACTTTCAAATAGTTCATTTTGTTTAAGTTTAAGTCAAAACTTTCATTTAAAAAAAAAAAAAAAATTATTTTCTCCCAAAACTTTTCTTACACAAAACATGAAAATAATATTTTTGCATGAATGAAAGTTTTTTATTTGACTTTCTTATTTTATCTTTAACATATTGGTGCAAAACAACTTCTTTTTCTTTTTTTTATCATTGCAAAGGTACAAAGGCCAAGCCATCAATATAAAGGCAAAAGCCAAATCAGATGAAGCCATATGAAGCAAAAGAAGAAAAAATAAAGAACAAGCTCAGAACCGCCAAACTCCATATACAATATCAACAATGAACACATTCCAACTCCTAAGAATGAACACATTCCAACTCCTTCACTAATACATTCTATTTATTTCTGATTCTCATATGAGTTTTTGTGTTTTTACTAGTTTGACCATTTTACTCATGTTAAAAATGACAAATGTAAAGTCAATATGAGTACAATTGTATCTATAATCACATTCTCACTATTAGAATTGGTTAGAGATTACAAATTTTGTCTATTTTATAACCATCCTTAGTATTGTTTGGCTCTTAAAAATCGTGGTCCTTTCCAAGTGCGGAAAGGAGGGTGAATGTCGAGCGTGCCAGGAACTGATATCGTTCTAAAGTGGATATCCGAATAATTATCCATTAGGAGATTGTAGGGATCAAGCGATTGTATGAAGAACTGGAATTACCACATTCGAGGGTTCTTTTTGCCTTGAAAAGGACTTATGGATTACTCTATGACTAGTGGAAAGGAAAGCGGTATTGAAAGTGCAGGACTTCAAAGTAAGGTGCTGGAAAGTAAGAAAGATAAGTGCGGGACTTGAATTAAACAT